AAGTTATATAACATTTTAATTACCATATTGAATATAAGAAATGGTCAAATTATATTAGGTTCGATGTGTTGAAAAATCAAGAAAAATTATGGTGTTTATTTGTAACGCATGAAAGTGATTCGGAACTACGGCTGTGTTCTCATTTTCAGGTGGAAACTGCGACATTGGTGTGAATTCTGACCAAACAAAACCAAAACCGGTTAAATCTACGGTTGACAACATAGGAACCGGTACAGAGGAAACCGTGCGGAGCACAGACGGTTCAACCGAAGAGGCGGTAGTCGAGACGCAAGATTGGCCCAACCCTGTAGCCAAAAAGACGAGAAAACCGCCGAAACCGCGGCCAAACGGCAACGGAGTAAACGACGGTTTGCTTCCGTTTGCTCAGATGCCGTGCGTGACTAGCACAGGTAACGGACCCGAGGGCAAAACCGTAAATGGGTTTCTGTATCGTTACTCAAAATCAGAGATTAGTATAATCTGCGTGTGCCACGGAACGTCTTTTTCGCCGGCTGAGTTCATCGCTCACGCCGGTGGGACTAACGTTTCGCATCCGTTAAGGCATATAACTGTCGTTCCGTCAACGTTTTGATCAAACGGTTATCGTTTTTGTTACGTTTGTCTTGTGTTTTTGTGTATATATAATTTAGCTGATCGATGGACTTTTTTTGAGTTCAAAGGAACTCTCTTTTGATGGTTTTAGTTTTTTTTGGTGATATTTATCAACTAATTTAACAGTCGACTTTTTTTTTTTCTTCCATTGCCTGTAAAAATGTGATATATAGTTTACAAGAATTTGGTATATGCGAGACCCTTTCTACTCTAAAATTATTTACGCAAACTATACAATTACTTGTCTAAATCCTACACTGAAAAAGGAAAAAAAATATCAGCTAAAAGTTTATTTTCTACTCGCCGGGGGGAAAAAAACCATACGAGTAATACTAAACCGATAAAAATTCGGTTAAGCGTAACAGATTTACATAACCATCCATGACGGTTAACGGTTAGACGCGGAGTAGAGTCGTAGCCAGTGGCAACAAATGTAAATATACATCTTATCGAAATCGGATAAATAAGTCTCTGCAATTACAAAAAGTTCTCTGCTTCGTCTTCGTCTCTTACTCTTCTCCTTCCTTGTCGTTGAAGAAGAACCGCCACTTGAGTTAGTCGTTGAAGAACTTGGAGCTGACCATACTCAATCGCCAGAAACCTCTCCCTCGACCGTTAGAACCTTCTCAGGTGAGTCGTCCTTTTCACAGTCTCGCGTCATCGATAGTTTGGTTGGGAGATGAATTTGCAAAGCTCTACTATTTCCTCATGAAAGATAAACCGGAGAAGCCCTATCAGGTTTATAAATTGATTCTAGCAAGATTGGTCGGCCTAGAAAAGAAGGAAAGATGTGTCACTAGGCCTTATCGGTAAATATACTTTTTTCTTGATTGCACTGAAACTCGACTTGTCTTGTTTCTGATTGATTAGTGTTCTTGGAGCAGGATATAGATGAGAATCTGAATATGCTATCTTCTGGAGGGTTATAACTCGGTCGTAGTAACCAGTGTCGTTTCCCAAGACTCTAAAAATGGGAGTGTCGATGGCTACTTCAGTTTGAACGAGAGGCTTGAAAGGAACTTCACTCAAGCTTTCTTTTCTTGCTCCACAAGAAAATGGCTACATTGTTTTGAATGACATGTTCGTATTTCATGACAACCCCGATCCTTCTGATGATAACGGTCAGTGGCGAGTCAATTAGTTCAATTGTGCATAATTTTGCTCGTGAGCAAGTGTCTAAGAGGTTTGGTTTAATGGGAAATGGTTTAGTCGTAGAGGAGAAAGTAGCAGATGGTTCACTGAGTGTTTTAGAACGAAACGAGGGACTTGAAGATGGCTCCAATGCCTCTGTTGTAAGTAGACATTCAAAAGGATCTAAAATAGCTAACTTATGGAATTGGAAACTGATAAGTAACGATGTTTAATATAAAGCGAAGGTGTACAAGGCAATACCAAAAGATCAAGGTCAACATACTGGAGACCGGAACAATCAGGAGTCTCAAGGTAGTAATCAGGAGTTTTTTTTTGTTGTTGTCTTTGTTAACTATATTTATACACTCTGGTGTAACCTTTTGTTTGCCAGGGTTAACTGAGTGTTCAGCAGTTCACCTGAAAAATCTTCCTGCAAACTACACCATTGACTCTATTGAAAATGCATTTAAGGAGTTTGGAGCAATTAAAAGTGGTGGAACTGAAGTTTGGGTAAGTGTTACTAACAAGCAATTTTCGAGTCCTTCTCTTCTTATTCATGGAACAGTAATTTGTCTACCTGTATGAACTGTGTAGACATACTACTAATGATACTGTGGAGTTTGAGGAAGCAGGAGCCGCACAGAGGGCAATGGAGGTACAAGCTTTGGACATGGACCATTGATAAACATTTGGTCAGAGTCTTGGGGGTTCAATTTGATCTCTTGAAGCCACAGTAGCACAACTGTTAGTTGACTCTTTTTTACATAATGCTGGCATGAATCTTATTCAGGCGTCTCCTGTGACGATTTGTGGGCAAAAAGTTTGCGTGGTGAAGAAGCGAAGTACATACAGAAGTGAGTGTTCAAAGTATCACAACTAGCAACTCTAGTTAGTTAGTCTATGAAAATGGTGCTCAAAGCTCCACTTTTGTTTGAGAATCAGGTTACGGGGGACATAGGAGAATTCACGAGGAAGAAGGGCGATCAAAACAGACATGGAAGCGACCAAGTGAAAGGAACAATAGTGGTTGATGAAACTTGGTTTCAGAACTGGCTTAAGACAATGGAGGAACGTACTAGTAAGGTTGAAAAGGAAGAGAGAGGAACAATTGTAGTTGATGAAGTTTGGTTTCAGAACTGGCTTAAGACTATGGAGAAACGTACTAGTAAGCTTGAGGAGGAAGAGAGACGCATAGGAGATTTCTGGGACTGGCAGAGGTCAATGGATAAACAGAGTAAATTTCGTGAGGAAGCAGGGGAAACAGGAATTGACCATTCTTGGGACTATAATGTGGTAATGGAGGAACAGAGGAAGTTTATGAAGGAAGATTCAGGAGGAGAAAGAAGAAGAAAACCAAAACTAGACCTTGACTAGTCATCATGTATATATAGAAGCTGGAATTTTCATACATATATGGTTCTTAATGGTAGAATTACCAAACTGATTGTTTTGTGAGTAGACTAAAGACACGACCGGTTATGGTTATTGTTATTGTTGTTGCAACAATGGTCAGAATTATTTGGATTTGTTGAATTGGATCTTTGTGAAGCATTTACTTTTGTGTTTATGGTGTTTTGGATTTCTGCAATTCGACTTGAAGTATGATCACATACATAAATAACCCAAAAAAAAAGAGAACTTTGCAAAGGAAAGACAACTTTAAATTAAAATTCTTCTTTAGAACAGAAATGTTACATGAAGAAGAAGATCACAAAAGCGTAAAATCTAAATTCTATTCATTCATGACAGGTTTGTTGTCGCTGGCTTTGGGCTTCTGTTCTCTTGGCTTGTCCTCCATTTTCCTAATGATATCATACAAATAAGATGAGAGACGAACATCACTAAATCGACAAAATCAATACTTTGAGATCCAGAAAACAAACAATCGCTCTTCTTATCTTTGGATCTCAGACAAAAAGAAAGAGAGAAAAGTGTTTGTACCTCTTGTCGGAGGAGTTTCCCTTCTGGCTCAGGAATGATCTGAAGATGGCGGAGTTCACGTCGTAAATCATTCTTTCCACAAATCTCTCGTAGCTTCGATCTCAGATTTTTTTTCTTATGGCTGCAACAGAAGTGAGGAGAACCCTAAAGTCCTCACTTTCAACCATTTTATATCGTCTGGTCATTTTCGGGCCATTCTCTTTTTGGGCCTTTTTCTATTTCTATGGGCCTAACCCACCAAACACAACAATTCCAGAATTGTGATCTTATCTAAACTGGGACGAATTGTTTTTGCAAGTCTCAAAGATGAAAGAAAAATCTCAATTGCAAGAACCAAAAGTTGGCGTTTTTGGGTGCAAAAACGACAGAGCGTTCTACTCTTCAATGTATAACGTAGCAAAGACAAGAGAGAAAAGCTTAACCAAATCCCATTTATACACTCAATTCGTGGAGACATTAAAAGATGTAACAAGTGTACTGCACTAGCAAAACAAGCATATAATCATGTTGGTGATTATGGTTTTCATGAGAGTAGGGAGACGAGAGATACGAACTCGAGCGTAACTCTTCCCTTTGATCTAGTGTTGATTACGAAATGCTCTGGGTATTTTCTCAGCAGCATCAGTAAACCGTACCATGGTTTACCTTTTGCTTCAGGGATAGCCCAATCTTCTAGTGTCAGGTATCTTCTTACTCGACTGTGATGCCATACGTTTCCATATTTCTTCAATATCTGCCACAGACCAAGCACGATGATGCATTAGCATTGAATCACAAAGAGGTTGATTTTTGGAAAAAGGATGATACTCTGCAACACATTACTTATAAACTATAGTTATCAACTTGTGAAGTATTAGAGGTTTATACTTTCTAGGGTCGTACAAAACTTAGTTTTGCAATTCCATTGGAAATCTGGTAAGAACCTAGACCCACACTAAGCCTCACAAATCTACATGGACACCATATACGCTTGGTTTCGACGGAGTAATGCTACCGATGATATAACCAGATCAAAGCGGCCTTAAGTATCAGAAGTGAGGTGGGATATTACCACTGACTAAGTACAGAATGAGAAGCTAGCATTTAAGTGTGGATATTCCCATGAACTTGTATTGACTGTTATAAACCTAATAACATGCATTCTTGTGAGAAAACCGGTGTTTCTGATCGTAGAAAGCTTGTGCTAGGGTCTGTACTAAAACAAGGCAGGAAAAATACAAAGTAAGAACTAACCACGGAGTGAAGTTTTTCCATAGGCATCCAATCTCCCGGACCACATAAATCAGAAAGCACAGTGGCAACAGACGATACAACATCCTTTTCCTCCAGCTGCAAAACTTGTTGATCATCAGCTTCACGATCTACCTTTGTTCTTCCTTCTCTCTTCTTCTCTGCACATATGAAGCAGATACAATATCTCGGTGTCACTATCATGCAATCCTACTCTAACAACGTTCAATCACTACAATTTCTCCTCAAACAAGCATATGATCTGATCAAGTAAGCATCATATCTGAAACTTCAGACCTATTTAGTTTCACAATGAAATTAAGCTAATAAAAACTCAAAATTTCATGAGCAATCACCGGAAGCAGCTGCAGAGACATATCCTTCATGTCCATCTCTCCTTGTTTTCTTCCCATTGCCTCTGATATCCTCG